TGCTACTTTGTGTCCTTTGTCCTACTGCAGTGAGCTGCAAGTATGGTGTCTTCTTTTCTAGCTGGGGACAACCCCATGTTTCCTTGGTGTGTGAAGAAGGCCAGAACTTCCCATCTACGGCCCTTGGCTTCCTCTGTGTCAACATGGAGATAGATCCCTGAATCCTTTCATGTTTGTGCTCAAAGACAACCAAAAACATGAGCAAGAAAACATGATCAGAGGGAAGTAGGGAGGGGTAAGTGGGAGAAAATGAGGGCTGGGGTAACAGTGATTAAAGACAAATGTACTCATGCCTTTACCTATGTGACTGTAACCCTCCTGCTCACCACCTTTTCAATGAGATTACATGAAATGTGATCAATGCAGGTGGAAAAGTAGAATCTAGGTCCATGGAAGGGAGGCATTTCTGAGAGGCCCAAACACCCCAATCCACTGGCCAAGTCCTTCCAGGATCCCCTGTCCTACCTGTTTTGGCCCACCAAGGTGTGACTTTCGGAGCCTCAAGTCTGTGCACCCCTCACCTCAGCAACCCTTCTGTGCCCGGGCAGTGAACCGCTTTGGCTATGCACCTTTGCCCCTCTGAGTCCCTAATCTACTTTCCATGGCTTTCCCACATGCCATACATCATCCAGCTTGCCACTTTGGTAAGCAGCCTGCTTTGTTACAGGCATGACAAGTTCAAGGTCTGTTAGAGCCAGAAAGGAAACTGGAGACCCCAACTCCCTACACTGAACGTCTGCTACATGGTAGTAATGTACAACGTATACTGCCATTTCGACGGTCCTCTATTAGAGATACAGACAACAGCATGTTATCTGCACATACATATAAATGTACACACATAACATTTATGCAAACACGCACACACCCATTCACAGTACTTGCACAGTCTAGAATATGTTCGTGTACATACACATTATCCACACAGCCTCTGCTCACTTGGAGTGAGTGCAGAAGTGAGCACTGGAGATTGAGCTCTGTGTGGTTCACTGGGACACATTAGCTGCTGGACTGTGATCGATTGTGAGGGAAATCCCAATCTCTGACCACAACCATGACCTCAGCTCTTTGTGGTCCGGCTTGTGGCCACTCTCAGCCCATGACCAGCAGTCTGGCTCCCTGGTGATGGGCACTGACACCCTAAGGATGCCGGGAAAGCCACAAACTGTGCTTGGCCACTCCCTCTATAAGATTCCTGACAGCAAACGACTCCACAGCACTGCAGAAACTGCCCTGTCTGCTCCATCCGCACAGAACCTCCTCAATGGCTGCCTACAGCTCCTCCTTTCTCCACCATTTCTTCCTTTCATTTGCCTTTTTGAGGCAGAGTCTCACTCTGCTGCCCACACCAGTATTAAACTGCTGGGTCACGTTTGGCCTCCCAATCAGCTGGAACCACGCATGTTGGGCCCCAGGCCCTAAATTTAATGTTCTGAAACTGTTTTTAGTATTTATTTTATTCATTAATTTTTTTTGGTGGCACTAGAGTTTGAACTTAGGACTTAGAACTTGCTTGGCAGGCACTTGGGTTATTTTCAAAGCTAGAAAGTAGGTTGACCTTGCTCCTTTTCTCCTTTTTTAAAACTTTTCAAAAAGTTTGATTCCTTTATTGTACTTTTTTTTTTTGAGGTCCAGTCATGGGGCCTGAACTCTGGGCCTGGGTGCTGTCCCTCTTCAGCTCAAGGCTAGTGGGCTACCACTTGAGCCATAGCACCACTTCCAGCTTTTTTTTCTGCTTATGTGGTGCTGTGGAATCGAACCTAGGGCCTTATGCATGCAAGGCAAGCACTCTACTACTAAACCACCTTCCCAGCCCCCCTTTATTGTACTTTCTAACTCTATGCTGTGTCTTTGAAACCTGCACAATGACTCTTTCTATTTTTGTGCTGGTCCTGGGGCTTGAAGTCAGGGCCTAGGCATTGTCTCTGAGCTTCTTTTGTTCTAGGCTAGCACTCTACCACTTGAGTCACAGCACCACTTCAGCTTTTTCTGAGTAGTTTATTGGAGAAAAGAGTCTCACAGATTTTCCTGCCCAGGCTGGCTTTGAACCGTGACCCTCAGATCTCAGCCTCCTGAGTAGCTAGGACTCCATGTGTGAGCCACCAGTGCCCGGCCTGCACAGTGACTCTTTACCCGCTGATTGAGATGCCAGCTCGATCCTGTTGTGGCCACACACAGCCCATGTGGACAATCTGTGACAACTTTGGGAACTGTCACACGAAGCCCTGAGGTTGAACTGCGTACACACCACATGTAGGTCTGGGTGCTTTCTGGATCTTGGCATACGAAACAATTCCATCACCAGGATTCTAGATGGCCTGTTTTGGGGGAGGCTGTGCTGCAGGACGCTTGGATGGACGCTTGTGATGGAATGTCAGATGCTGGACATCCCGAGCACCTCTGCTACCCAATGCACCGGAGAGTTCCTGGAATCGATCACTGTGTGCCTGAGAGCATCAGCTGGGTACCATGAGAACTACCTTAATCTGTTTTGAGCGCCAGAGACCGTTTCCTGATGGGATGACCTTTCCTCTGCTTGTTACTCCAGGCAGTGATCTTCCTTTATTTCATTCCCCATATTAGGTTTTATCTTTCTCCCTCCCTCTCTCCCCCCATCTTTTCCTTCGGTACAAGAGACTGAACCCAGAGCCTTATCCGAAATAGATAAGAACTGTACCAGTCAGCTACATCTCCAACATTTTTTAATAATTTTTTTTTTTAATTTTGAGACAAGTTATCTTTAAGTTGCCAAGGCTGGCCTCAAACTTTGTTGTCATCCTACTTTAGCGTCCTGAGTATCTGGGATTACAGACATATGCAACCATGCATAGCTGCTTTTAATGAAACTTGCTATCAGTTTAAATCCACTATAAAATTTCTTTGTACTTCAGTCTCCCCAAGTGTAAATCAAAGGTGGTCAAACTCACAGCACAGGTTTCTTTCTTTCTTTCTTTCTGCATGTCTGTCTACCTGTCTTTGTTTCTTTGTCTCCCTTCTTCCTTCCTTCCTTCTTTCCTTCCTCCCTCCCTCCCTCTCTCTCTCTCTCTCTTTTTATTGTCGGTTGTGGGGCTTAAACTCTGGACTTGGGAGCTATCCTCAGCTCCTCAGCTCAAGGTAAGCACTCTACTGCTTGAGCCACAGTACCACTTCTGGTTTTCTAGTGGTTTATTGGAGATAAGAGTCTCACAGGCTTTCCGGTCTGGGCTGGCTTGGAACTGCAATCCTCAGATCTCAGCTTCCTGAGTAGCAAAGATTATAGGCATGAGTCACCGGTAGTTGGCACAGCACAGACTTCTTATGAAGGTTAAATGAGACCATACAACTAAAAAATTTGTATCAGTGCTTGCTTATATGCTGCACAGTACATGATTAGAAGGCAATTACACTGGCTGGGCACTGGTGGCTCACACTTGGAATACTAGTTACTCAAGACGATGAGATTTGAGGATCCTGCTTCAAAGCCAGCCCAGGCAGGAAAGTCCAGGAGACTTACATCTCCAACTAACCACCAAAAAAAGCCACAAGTGGAACTGTGGCTCAAGTGGCAGAACACTAGCCTTGAGTCAAAAAGCTCAGGGGCAGTGCTCAGGCCCTCAGTTCAACTCCAGGACCAACATACACACACACACACACACACACACACACACACACACACGCAGAGGCACATACACGCACACGTGTGCACACATACACAGGCATACGCACACACACACAAAATTATTTCAAAAAGGAAAATCAAATCCTTTAAAATTTGGTAACAAACTTGAAAACTATATCTTCAGTTCATGGCATACTTACATAGATAAAAATAATTAGATGACTTTAAAATGAAATATTTTGGAATGCCTGGTGTTGCAGCTACTTGGGATGATAATAAGATAATATAGTAGAGCGCTAGCCTTGAGCTGAAGAGCTGAGGGACAGCACCCAGGCCCAGAGTTCAGGCCCCACAACCAGACCCCCCCCCCCAAAAAAAAGAAGAAAAAAATAGGATAATATAATAATCAGAATAAATCACAACAAAATTGCAAAACCTGGGCTGGGAATGTGGCTTAGCAGTAGAATGCTTGCCTAGCACACTTGAAGCTCTGGGTTTGATTCCTCAGTACCACATAAACAGAAAAAGCCGGGAGTGGTGCTGTGGTTCAAGTGGTAGAGTGCTAGCCTTGAGCAAAAGAAGCTCAGGAACAGTGCCCAGGACCTGAGTTCAAGTCCCAAGACTGGCAAAAAAATGGGACTGGGAATGTTGCCTTGCATGCATGAGGCCCTGGGTTCGATTCTTCAGCACTACATATACAGAAAAAGCTGGAAGTAGTGCTGTGGCTCAAATGGTAGGGTGCTAGCCTTGAGCACAGAGAGGCCCAGGGATAGAGCCCAGACCCCGAGTTCCAGTCCCAGGACTGGCAAAAATAAATTTGCAAAACCTCATTTGAAGTTCCTAGAGCACCAACTCATTATTTTAAAAAATGGATAGATTTCTGATAGTGACATTTCAGGGTAACAAAAGAGTTGGTGAAAAAAGATGTTTAGGGTAAGATTTCAGCTAATAAATGAAGAGGAAAGGGTTGAATTAGGAAGTTACTAGTTTACAAACTTTACTGAACCACCATTAATAAAGGCTAAAACAACAGAGTGAAGGTTGGGGAAAACCTTCATGCTGTAGGAACCAAGCTGTGATAGTGCGAATGAAACTCTCAGCCATGGCACCCCTGTGGGAGATTGAGAAGCTACCCAGAAAGCACTGGGAAGGAGGTCCTACCTAAAGAACAACCTGGGCCTAGAAAAAACCCTACAACCAGCTGGTTGGTCATGGGGCTTGGGTGCTGTCCCTGCACTCTTCAGCTCAAGGCAAACGCTCTACCACTTGAGCCACAGCACCACTTCCCGGTTTCTGAGTGGTTCTTGGAGATAAGAGTCTTATGGAGATCGCAAGGTGGGGTTGCAGTGAGTACCACTGGGTTCAGGTGCAGCGTGGCCCCTCTTCCCCTTATTCCCGCGGTGGCTGGCAGACTCCAACCTGGAGGCGCTCCTTCATTCCCGGTCCTCACGTTTAGGAGCTCAAGCCTAGGACAATGGTGTGCATTCCTTGTATCATCATTCCAGTTCTGCTCTGGATCTTCAAAATTTTCCTGGAACCATACTTGTGCCCTCTGGTCTCCCCTTTCGTTGGCCGTATATGGCCTAGAAAAGCTGTACACGAAGCCAACAATAAAAATAAGGGCATAGTAGGCTGCAAGGCTGCAGACACAGATGTATTACCAACAAAAGGACCAACAGAAATCTCTGATAAAAAGAAAGACTAATGTGATTTTCCTCAAAGGATCTCCGCTGTTTGAAAAATAGACCTGATGATATGAAGCACCTTCTTTGTAGTTGTATCTGACCTTTTTCTCTGAGACCAGAATTCTGGATAGACAATTTAGATATTACCTGGTACTAATCAGGAAATACATGATATTTATATTTAAAATGAACTTAGTTGTATTTAATGACCTCATTTCTGAGATCCTTTTCCATTAAAGTAGCTCTCATTCCCTTATTACTATTTTAATAATATGAATAAGTAGGAGATTTGTGCCAGTAGAACCTCTACTTAAAACCCTTGGTCCTTTAGCACTTGTTCAAAAGAATTTGCCATTTGCTGTAACTTAAAGGATTCTAATTTGAATAATTTTACTGTGAAATAGTACAATGATAATGATGTGAAAAGATGCAATGCAATAGTTCATAAGAGTAGTAACTGCTGCTTATGGCTCTGATGAAAGTGAAAAATGTGGAAATAGAAAAAATTCCTTGATAAATGAAACATCTTTTACATGTACATCTAATATATAAATTATAATCCTGTTGCATTCCTTCTGTTCCTACAAATGCATTAAACATTCAGTTTAATGCTGGGAAGGTGGCTCAGTGGTAGAGTGCTTGCCTTGCATGCATGAGGCCCTGGGTTCAATTCCTCAGCACCACATAAGCAAAAAAAGCCGAAAGTGGTGCTGTGGCTCAAGTGGTAGAGCGCTAGCCTTGAGCTGAAGAGCTGAGGGACAGTGCCCAGGCCCAGAGTTCAGGTCCCACAACTGACAAAAAAAAAGAGTCCCACAGACTTTTCTTGCCCGGGCTGGCCTTGAACTGTGATCTTCAGATCTCAGCCTCCTGAGTAGCTAGGAATTACAGGTCTGAGCCTCCAAGGTACCTGGTGAGAGGAACATTTTTGAAACTGGAGTGGTAGGTGTAAGATCACAAGCCAATAAAAATTTGGTGATGGTGATTTTCAGTTTTCAGATTTACCGTTTTTTGTTTTCACAGGGAGATAACCTCAGTGGGAAGGAAGGCAGCCCTCCACCCACTGGGGAGCAGGTCCCCGAGGACAGGGACAACAGTGCCGCTTCACAGCCACACCTAGACATGCGTGTCACCACACCATAGTTAGAAAATGGCTCAGATTTCTGGTTGCTTTTCCCAGCACTCAAAGATCATCTTCCTGTTTATCTTGGTGGAATGCCTGTGTTACACTTGTGATTTTTCTGTTCTCTACCAGATATTCAAACAAGATTGTCACAGATGGGGGCGGGCAGGTCAAGGGGTCACTAGTCACAATCAGATGTTGGATTTCCTGAGTAGAAAAGATACTCGGCTGTGAACTACAAATGTTTTTATGGAGACCAGAGGACCTCCGCCGGCCTCTCTGCCCTGGGCTTCTTCACAAGGTCCCAGTTCTTCCTAGATTCATCTCCTCGCGGAACCTGACTTGCATTTATCTTTCAGTGTGTCTCTGGTCAGTTCTCAAGGGCTATGGCCTCACAGTTTTGGAAAATAGTCCCTACCCAGAACAGGGAGGTCACACAGGGAGGTCAGTCTAGGTGGGCAAGAAGGTAGATGCCAGCCCCTTTCTGTTCATCCGTTCCTCAGTTTCCACAACAGTATTCTTGGTTAGTGGGGAGAACTAGTCTGGCCTCAAAAGGCATCAGCTGTCAGAAGAAGGGGCTCACCCCACTACACCTTCTATGAAATGAGTCAGTGCAGTGTTGAGGACTAAGTTAGTTAATATTGACAAAACGTTTAGAACAGAGTTTGGTGCCTTGTAGCAAGCACCACATACTTGCTGTGAGTGGATTCCTAAGGGCAGAGAGGGTTCTGCCTTAGCAGTGAGCCAGTGCTAACTGAATCCTCCTGCTGGGGCCCCAGGGGCTTCCTGGCCTAACCACGGACCCATCCCTGCAAACTAATGATATGTTGAAGCTTGACGCCATTGAAATGAGCTCATGAACAATTACGCCTGACATTCTGAAAGTGTGCACCTTTGGAAATATTTCAAATCTGTATTTTAAAACTGGAAACTTTGTCAGTTTCATACTTGGCTGATAAAGTATATTCAATATACCCATGTTGTCTGGCTCCTGTGGCTCCTGCCTGCAATCCTGGCTACTCTGGAGGCTGAGATCTGAGAACTGTGGCTCAGGGACAGCTCATCTCCATCCTGAAGCGGGGGTGTGGTTTAAGTAGGAAAGACCCAGCCTTGCGCAGAAAAAGGTAAGGGGTCTGAAGACCCCAAGTTCAAGCCCCAGGAACGGCATGGAAAAAATATATACACACCTTGAATTTATTTTTATTTATTTATTTTTGTCTGTCATGGGGCTTGAACTCTGGGCCTGGGTGCTGTCCCTGTTCTTCAGCTCAAGGAGAGTACTCTACACTTGAGCCACAGTGCCACTTCTTGTTTTCAGGTGGTTTATTGGAGAAAAGAGCTTCACGGACTTTCCTGCCTCAGCTGGCTTTGAACCATGACCCTCAGATCTCAGTCTCTTGAGTAGCTAGGATTACAGGCATGAGCTACCTGCATCCAGCTTGAATTTGTTATTATGAACATTTAATTGGAACGTTAACAAAGTTCTTTTTTTTTTTTTGTGTCCAGTCGTGGAGCCTGAACTCGGCCTGGGCACTGTCCTACAGCTCTTCAGCTCAAGGCTAGCGCTCTACCACTTGAGCTACAGCGCCACTTCTGGCTTTTTGCTTATGTGGTGCTGAGGGATCGAACCCAGGGCCTCAGGCATGCCAGGCAAGCGCTCTACCACTGAGCCACCTTCCCAGCCCCGTTAACAAAGTTTTGATATGGACATTTCTTTAATATATTTCAAGCAAAGGGGAATAATGTATACTTCCTTTGCCTGTCACAGAACTATATGTTAATTTTAAAAGAAACTTGGGGGCTGGGAAGGTGGCTCAGTGGTAGAGGGCTTGCCTTGCATGCATGAGGCCCTGAGTTCGATACCTCAGCACCACATAAGCAGAAAAAAAAAAAAAAAGCTGGAAGTGGCACTGTGGCTCAAGTGGTAGAGCACTAGCCTTGAGCTGAAGAGCTGAGGGACAGCGCCCAGGCACAGAGTTCAGGCCCCACAACCAGACCAAAAAAAAAAAAAAAAGAAACCTGGCTATTTTCAACACCTATAAAAAACTAAATTTTGAGCCATGTACTAGTAGCTCACACTTGTAATCCTAGCTACCCAGAAGGCTGAGATCTGAGGATCACAGTTCAAAGCCAGCCGGGGCAGGAAAGTCCATGGGACTTTTTTTTTTTAATGCCAATTCTGCCTTTGGGAAGCACATTGCTAGATTTAGATTCTGATAGACTTGAATGATAAAATCCTTCCTTATGGATGACAATATTTGAAATGAGAATACATGAAAGGTTGTCATAATGGGGCTAGGGTGTTATGTGTACATTGTATTTATTTATTTATTTATTTATTTGGGTTGGTCGTGGGGCCTGAACTCTGGGCCTGGGCACTGTCCCTCAGCTCTTCAGCTCAAGGCTAGCACTCTACCACTTGAGCCACAGCACCACTTCCGGTTTTTTTGCTTATGTGGTGCTGAGGAATTGAACCCAGGGCCTCATGCATGCAAGGCAAGCACTCTATGCAAGGCAAGCACTCTACCACTGAGCCACCTTCCCAGCCCCCTGTGAGACTCTTATCTCCAATAATCCACCAGAAAACCGGAAGTGGCTCTGTGTCTCAAGTGGTAAAGCGCTCACCTTGAGCTGAAGAGCTGAGGGACAGCGCTCAGGCCCAGAGTTCAAGCCCCACAACCTGCCAAAAAAACAACACACACACACACACACACAGGTCATTGTTCCTGAATTAGCCCTTTCTGAATTGCTTGCTGGGAATCTCTTTGCTACAAAAGGCAAAGCTAACCATTTCAGCATGTCCTGTCCTGTCGCCCTGGGGTTGTCCTTTATTAAAGGCCCGTTGTGGCTCCTCCACCTTGGCTGAGCAGCGAATAGCCGGTGCCTGAACCGGGCTTTGGGAGCCCAGGAGCGGGACTTCCCGCGGGGTCTAGACCTGGACGGGGTGACTGCGGGTCCTCATCTCAGCTTCTGGGGACGGGTGGGGTTGGATTTCCCGGAGGCCTGCCCATAGGTGTGGAGGAGTTCTCGGATTTGAGTCTGTCCAGTTGGGGAAGTTCTTTGTGCGTGGGAAGCTCCCTCCCCTCTCCGGACGCCTCGGTGACCCAGCCGCGCACGGGCCAGGAGGGCCGGGCCGCCCCACCGCGCGTGGGCCCCACTAGAACATAAACACGAGTGGCCGGGGCTCCTCTGCCCAGGACCCCTCCTCCCCCGACGAAAGCAGCCTGCCGTGCGTGATGGCCCCGCGCGCCCGGCCGGCCCCAGCTCCTGTCCGGTCAGCATCTTCAGTATGCGCGCCGCCGGCCCCGGGGCTTGAACTCAGGGCCCTGAGCTCCGTTCTCCGGAGGCCGGCGCTCTACCGCTCGGCCCTTGCTGCAGGGCTGGCCTCGAACCGCGACCTTCGTGTCTCAGCCTCCCGACGGCCGGGCTCCGCCGCTGCTCCCCTGGCCGTCCCGGCGCGGCCGGCTCCCGGGTGGACACCAGGAGAACGGAGCGGCCCAGAGCCGGGGCCCGCCGTGCGAGCCGGCCCCGCTTTGTCGCGGCCGTCGCGGGCGCGGGGGCTGCGGGGCGGGCGGGCGCGGGGGGCCCGGGCTCCGCGGGCCTCGGGCCTCGGGCGGCGGCGCTTCCCCAGCTTCCGTTTCCTGTGCGGCCCGGCCGGGACGGCCGCAGCCCGGAGCGCGCGTCCCCGGCAGGTGTCGCCGCGTCCCCGCGTCCCCGCCCGGCCCGGCCCCGCCGGCGCAGCCGCCGAGGGGCGGAGACCGGGCGGGGGCGGAGACCTGGCCGAGGGAGGGAGGGCGGGCGGGGTCCGGGCCGGCCCAGCCCGCCAGCGCCGCGTGAGCGCGGCCCCCACCCCCGGCGCGCGCCCGCCCCCCGCGCCCGCCCCCCGCGCCCGCCCTCCGCGCCCGCCCGCGCCGGGTCGCCGGGGCCGTGGTGTACGTGCAGCGCGCGCGGAGCGAGAGGCGCTCGCAGGCTCGCAGGCCCGCCCGGCCCGCCCTGCCCGTCCTGCCCGCCCGCCGGACGCCGAGCCCGCCCGGCCCGGCCGCGCCGCCGCCGCCCGCCCGCCGCCCGCCCGCCGCCCGCCGCCCGCCGCCCGCCGCGATGAGGCGCTGAGCGCGGAGCTGACGGCGCCGAGCTGCGCCGCGGCCAGGCCGGGCCCGGCGGGCCAGGGCGCGCACGGCCTCCCCGCGCGGGCGGCGGAGCATGGCGCCGTGACGGCCCCGCCGCCGCCGCCGCCCCGCGCCCGGCCCCGGCCCGGCCCCGCCGCCATGGCCAGTGACAGCGGCGGGCCCGGCGCGCCGAGCGCCGGCGAGCGAGACCGGCAGTACTGCGAGCTGTGCGGGAAGATGGAGAACCTGATGCGCTGCGGGCGCTGCCGCAGCTCCTTCTACTGCAGCAAGGAGCACCAGCGCCGGGACTGGAAGAAGCACAAGCTGGTGTGCCAGGGCGGCGAGGCGGGCGCGGGGGGCACCGCTCGGGCCCCGGCCCCAGCCCCAGCCCCGGCCCCGGCAGGCCGCCGCCCGGCCCGGCCCGAGCCCCGCGCCGACGAGCCCGGCCCCGGCCCCGCCGGCCTGTGTCCCGCGCCGGGCGGAGAGGCGCTGAGCCCCGCCGGCGCCCCGAGGCCCAACGGGCAGACGAAGCCGCTGCCCGCGCTGAAGCTGGCGCTGGAGTACATCGTGCCCTGCATGAACAAGCACGGCATCTGCGTGGTGGACGACTTCCTGGGCCGCGACACCGGCCAGCGCGTCGGCGACGAGGTGCGCGCGCTGCACGACACCGGCCGCTTCACCGACGGCCAGCTGGTCAGCCAGAAGAGCGACTCGTCCCGGGACATCCGCGGCGACCAGATCACCTGGGTAGAGGGCAAGGAGCCCGGTTGCCACACCATCGGTCTGCTCATGAGCAGCATGGACGACCTCATCCGCCACTGCAGCGGCAAGCTGGGCAACTACCGCATCAACGGCCGGACGAAGGTAAGCGGGGCGCCGGGCGCGGGAGGCCTGGCGCCGCCGCCCCGGGGTCCGCGCCCCTGCACCCCGGCCGGACCCCCCGGCTCACCCTCCGCCGCACCCCATCCCTCCGGGCCAGGAGGGGCCCCCGCCTTCGGACCCTGTCCGGGTTGGCCGGCTACACCTTTGCGGGGGGGGGCTTCCTCTATCTGCTTTGTTTCTGTGGTGCCCCTTGAGAAAGAGCTGCTCCCTGGCTTCCTGGAAAAGGAACACACGCGCATGCACACACACACATGCATGCATGCACACACGCACATGCATGCACACAGACACCACCACTATCACCATCACCACCACCATCACCACCGACAACAAGGAGCCAGAGGTAGAAGTCCCAGCCTTCGGTTGGGAGAAGTCTTTTTGTCCTCCCTCACTAATGGGTGGTAGTTTTCACCAAGGCAGCCCTTCTTCCTCCCGGCAGACCGTGGCTGTCCTGTCCCCCTCCACCCTGCAGCCTTTCCATTTTGCTTCCAGCCCCTCCGGGGTCCCTTGCTCCGCCCTCCCCCCCTCATCTGGAGAGTTTTGAGAGGGGACAAGGGACATCCCTGTGGCTGCACACAGCCCTGGCCATTCCTGGGAGGCTGGTGTCAGGTGTGAGCAGGTGTCAGACTCCCTGTGGGTCCAGTGTGACTGCCCAGCTGTGTAAAGTCCCAGTGCCGGCTCTGAGGAAGGTTCTGAGCATCGAAACTTCTGTGGGGCAAAATACCGTGTGGAGTCGAATTTACCTCTGGCACAATCGGTCCTTCCTGAAGCACATATCTTACATGCCGTCTCAGAGAAGTTTAAATAAAGGGACAGTTGTTTAAAATTAAACGGGAAGGGAAAAGAGGGTCTGATTGAACCCCACCCTCCATTTTCCACAAGATTTTCATTTATAGTTTTAAAAGGAAAGGTGGTCGTGGATGACATGTGAACACAGAAATGACTCCCGCAGCAAGAAGGCTGTGCGGGCACGGGCTTGGGCCTGGGCCTGGGAACTGCCGGCATCTGATTAGGTGTGAGCCATGAAGCCAGCCTCATCCTGAGTATTCTATGATCTGCTTCCTTGGGTAACTGAGCTTTCCGTCGCAAGCCAAGACCTCTGCTCTCCATGCTTCCCAGGGAGGGGTGGCAGGGCACCTGCTTGGCAGATGCGCCCCGGGAAGATGTCAGTTAGGAAAGTCACTTCTGTCCTGAGTGAGGGCTGCGACTGAAAGGTCCCAAAGGTACTGCCCCCACCCTGGAAGGGTGGATTCGATCTTACCTCTGCATTTGACTCAGGGACCAGGTTCCGAATCTGAGACCGATCTTGGGGGAATTCTTCCCATGGTACTTGTTGGCTGAAAGAATGTTGGAAATCATGCTTAACATGTAATTTAAGTATTGGGGGGGGGGGGGGGAGGAAGAGAAGCAAAACCAAGGGTGTTTGTGAGGAGTAGAAGGCAGGCAAAACAATACCCCCAGCCGGACACTGAGCCACGTGGGGTGTGCAGGGTACAGATGAGGCTCCATGGCACACAGAGTGCGGCCCGGGGCCATGGTGCAGGCGGCAGCATCCACACTCACACTGGAGGAGGCTTCCGCTCACCCTTGGCCGGGGTGAAGGTGACTTGGGCGCTGGACAGACGTGAAACCCTGTCAGCTTTCCGGCTGCAGGTGTAGGTGTGATGTTGGATAAGAAGGGATCGCTCATCAACACAACACTGGCACTAAGGTTTGATGTGTGTTTTTGTTGATCGTGGGTGAATAGTGTCCGCTGTATATATAGATTAATCATAGCCCGTAGTTGAGCTATGTAAAGTTTGTCAGATACTATGTTTATTTCATATTGAAGCTCCTGAATCTTACGTAAGTACAGCTCCAGAGCCATGTCAGAGAGTGGGTGTTTTTGCAGAGGGATCTTCAAGAAAGAGTTTCATACCAGGAGAGTAATTTCAGAGGTACCTTTCTTGTCAAGCATGGGGGGGGGGGGGGCTCACGCCTGTAACTCTAGCTATTCTAGAGGCTGAGATCTGAGTATCTTGGTTTGAAGCCAGGCAGGGTAGACAAATCTGAGAGACTCTTTAATTAGCAAAAGCTGGAAGTAGACCTGTGGCTCAAATGGTTGAGAGCCAGCTAGAGAAAAATGCCTGAAGTTCAAGCCCTAGTACTGGCACAAAAAAGAATACAAAAGTAAAGGTGTCATCCTCGAATGAGCACCATTTCTTGCTCACTATTCTTGGTGTAGCTCAGGAGAGGGGGAGGGAAGCCGCCCACTGTGGGCAGTTCTGCACAATCCCGGGCCTTGGGTTCAGGTCTTCAACCGCGCTGCATGCATGCAGGCCCTGGACATCAGTGGTGGGTGATGGTTATGGTCACTCTTGGGCTTTGGTTTCCCCAGAGTCTCCTCCTTCAGTCGTGTTCATCTGGCCTGTGTTTTCCCAGCTTCTTTAAAAGAGAAACCACAAGGGAAAGATGAAGTAATCTAAGGGAAAAACAGAAATGCAATCATTACTCCTGATGTAACCCAGCTCCACGTCCTACTTTCCCTGATCTTCTCTTGGGGATCTCCCCCTTTCTGTGCCAGCACTGTCCTTGGGGCCTTCACCTTCCTCCTACCCTTCCTTCACCAGGGAAACTCTTCACTTGGGCAGAGCAGTGTTGTGGGGCACCCGAGCGGTGTTTTCTGTAATCCCAGCTCCCAGGAGGTGCAGGTAGGAGGATTGTGGCCCGAGGCCAACTGGGTTTAAAAGCAAGACCCTATCTGAGAAATAAACCAAACAAAAGGGCCCAAGTGGGTAGAGTACTTGCCTAACAAGCACCAGGTCTTGTAATCCTAGCTACTCAGGAAGCTGAGATCTGCGGATCAGGGTTCACACAGCTAGCCTAGGCAGACAAATCCAACAGACTCACCCAACAGACTTCCTCAATTAACTGGCATAACGCTGGAAGCGGCTGTGGCTCAGATGGTAGCTTGACTATTATACTTCACTCACAACTCAGTTCTGAGTGGAAAACCCCAGGAGCGACTGTGCAAGGTCTTGAGTTCAAGAGTTCAAGCCCTAGCACCACCACCACAAGTGGTGTGGGGGTGGGGGAGAGAAAAAGAAAGAAAAGAGCTTGGTGCCGGTGGCTCACACCTATGCTCCTGTTACTCAGGAGGCTGAGATTGGAGGGTTTGGGTTGGAAGCCAGCATGGGCAAGACAGTTAAAACCCATGAGACTGCTGGGAAGGTGGCTCAGTGGTAGAGTGCTTGTCCTTGCATGCATGAGGCCCTGGGTTCTATTCCTCAGTACCACATAAGCAGAAAAAGCTGGAAGTGGCACTGTGGCTCAAGTGGTAGGACATTAGCCTTGAGCTGAAGAGCTGAGGGACAGTGCCTAGGCCCAGAGTTCAAGCCCCACAACCGGCAAAAAAAACAAACCATGAGACGTACCAACTTTATTTCCACTTAACCACCAGAAAGCCAAGTCTCATTTGGTGGAGTGACAGACTAGAATGAAAAAGCTAGCCGGGCACTGGTGGCTCACGCCTGTAATCCTAGCTACTCAGGAGGCTGAGATCTGAGGATCACGGTTCAAAGCCAGCCCGGGCAGGAGCGACCGTGAGACTCCTATCTCCAATAAACCACCAGAAAACCGGAAGTGGCGCTGTAGCTCAAGTGGTAGAGCGCTCGCCTTGAGCTGAAGAGCTGAGGGACAGTGCCCAGGATCAGAGTTCAAGCTCCGCGACCGACCAAAAAAAAAAAAAAAAGAAAAGAAAAGAAAAAGCTAAAGGACAGCATACAAACCCTGAATTTGAGCCCTAGGACCACACTGAAAATAAATAAAGGTATGCTAGGATCTTAACTGAGGTAGAGGAAAAGGGAGTACTTAGAAGAGTAGGATTGTCAGGACACACTGACCTGAACCTTCCTGTTGGCATTCTCTGAGGGAAAGCATTTGCTGTTAAAATTATAGGGATATTACTAATATTGGAGGGTCATGAGGTTGAGGCCAGCCTGGGCTATGTCACGAGATGGTTTCTCAAAAAAACAAAAAGCCATTGAAAAATTAATACAGTTACTAGACTCGTATGCATATCATTTTTGGAATTTTTTTTTCATTTTTGGAATTTAATCCCAAACTTGATCTGTTCAATAAAAAAGTACCAGCCAGGCCTGTAATCCTAGCTACTGAAGAGGCCGAGACCTGAGGATCATGGTTCAAAGCCAGCCCAGGCAGGAAAGTCCATGAGAATCTTATCCAGTGAACCACCAGAAAACCAGTAGAGCACTCAACTTGAGCTGAAGAGCTGAGAGACAGTGTTCAGGCCCAGAGTTCAAGCCCCATGACTGACCCAAAATTAATAAACAATGTACCTTATTACTCCAGAAAAGGTTGAGTTTATTAAGTACCACATTTTTATTACCAAAATTTTCATTAGTGCTACAGCTAATGAATCAGCTTTGGCTAATTGCGGCTTCAGAGCAAGGAACAGGATGAGGAAAACCCACTGCTCTGTCAGTGTCATAGAAACATGGAGACAGACTCTTAAATGACAAAGCATAGCCAATCCCGGCCACCTCGGCCGCAAGCCAGGAAGAGGCCTTCCTGGAGCCCACCATACTGCCTCCCGAGCTCTGGCTGAGCCTCTAGGAGTACTATACACCACTCTCTGTTGTTTAAGCTTGAGTAAATAAACAAAAAGTAAAGCACATATAAAAGCCACCCAGCAAAACTTCCTCTTCCACCTACTTCTGCTCTCCTCTCTCTCCTGGAATCTGGAACATACACACTGAAACGACTCAGTGATGGTTTATAGCTGCATCAGAATTCACCATCATGGTCAGCTGTCCTGTCAGCAGAAGGGCTGAAGCATGGGTCAGGGTCCTGTCAGGCTTCTGGGGCTGGCCCTCAAAGGGGTCGGCTCCCAGGGTGTGTTGCACTGAATGCACCTTATCAAGAAAGCACTTTTGTTAGTGCATTACCCTCGCATGTGCTGGGTGAGTGCACAGAACCTCTTA